ATCTTTCTTTAAGGCAGGTCAAATAAAACCTCTGATGTACATGTTCAAACAACATAATAGGGTTCACCACTACCGCTATGTGTTGTGCCTTGGAGTCATAGCTCAAATCAACTGTTTTGAACTCCTTAAAGTTGTCTACTGCTATCACAAACCAGTAGATTCAAATAAGATAAAGGAAGAGTCTGCATTTTGCTATCTTGCACATTAAATGTGCTTAGAGCTCAGCACCAGGAAGTTTCCCTTTCCCAATAAACAGTGTGCTTTAAAAAATTAGATTAAATGATTTTATTTCCTCTATAAGGGAATAAAACTATTTCCTAGTGCTGCGCTCTAAGCAGATTTAATAAGCCCAAGATAGTAAAATGCACGCTTCCATTTATCTTTTTTTATTTTATTTATTTATTTATTTTGAGACATAGTCTCACTGTTGGCCAGGCTAGACTGCTGGAGTGCAGTGGCGTGATCTTGGCTCACTGCAACCTCCCCCTCTCGGGTTCAAGCGATTCTCTTGCCTCAGCCTTCCAAGTAGCTGGGACTACAGGCCTGTGCCACCATGCCCAGCTAATTTTTTGTATATTTAGTAGAGACGGGGTTTCACTGTTTTACCAGGACGGTCTCTATCTCCTGACCTCGTGATCTGCCTGCCTGTGCCTCCTAAAGTTCTAAAGTTCTTACATTTATCTTTTTTTTTTTTTTTTTTTTTTTTTTTTTTTTTTTTTTTTTTTGAGACGGAGTCTCCCTCAGTCGCCCAGGCTGGAGTGCAGTGGGGCGATCTCGGCTCACTGCAAGCTCCACCTCCCGGGTTCACGCCATTCTCCTCCTGCCTCAGCCTCCCAAGTAGCTGGGACTACAGGCGCCCGCGGCCACGCCAGGCTAATTTTTTGCATTTTTAGTAGAGACGGAGTTTCACCGTGTTAGCCAGGATGGTCTCGATCTCCTGACCTCTTGATCCACCCGCCTCGGCCTCCCAAAGTGCTGGGATTACAGACATGAGCCGCTGCGCGCGGCCAGTTCTTACATTTATCTTATTTGAATTTACTGGTCTGTGATAGCAGTAAACAACTTTAAGGAGTTCAAAACATTTAGCTGAGCTATCATCACTCCAAGACACAACACATAGCATTTTTTTCTCTAATTTTTCTTGACTATCAAGAAATTAGGAGCAATGTTTTATGTTAATTAGTAATAATGTTCTTAAGTCTAACTTTTCTAAACAATGGTTTTCTTCTCCCTCTACCTTTCATTTAGCTCTGTTTTATTATTGATTCTGCGATGATGGTTCGGAGGTTTTTGTATTCCTGCATTTTATTACAAGCCCTTAATATTCCCTTTAGACATATAAGTAAAACCCAGTGTTAAAATCTGACTCTTGTTGACAGTTTCAACGCAGACACAGTATGATTGGTACCTGGTTACCAAAGTGAGAGTAAGACAATTCCTCCTTCTGCAATATGTAGAATTTATAAAGGGAAGTAAGTTCCCTCCCTCCACTCACTTGCAAACATTTCACCCAGATGAAAGATCAAATGAGGGCCGGGCACTATGGCTCATGCCCGTAATCCCAACACTTTGGGAGATCAAGGTGGGTGGATCACTGGAGGCCAGCAATTCAATACCAGCCTGGCCAATATGATGAAACCCCATCTCTACTAAACATACAAAAATTAGCCAGGCATAGTGGTGGGAGTCTGTAGTCCCAGCTCCTCAGGAGGCTAAGGCATGAGAATTGCTTGAACCTGGGAGGAAGAGGCTGCAGCAGGCCACTGCACTCGAGTGTGGGCGACAGAGTGAGATCCTGTCAAAAAAAAAAAACAAGATAAAGGCCAGAAGAGGGAGAAGAAGGTATCGATGACAACACTTAGAGAGAGCTGTGGCCCTTCTGTGAGTCCTTACCCACTTTCTTTCGCAGGAAGAACTGGGAGAAATGAAACTTTCTAACCCGAAGTATGGTAAGGGAACTTCAAGGGAATTTCTAAAGTAGCTTTGAAAAATATTTCTTGCAATTAGGAGATACAAAGAATTGTTGCCTGCCTCCACCTGATATAGCTAAAGCTGATACTGAACTAGTCTGACCCCACCCAGAAAATCTATCTGGAAAAGAAAGGCCAACTGCTTGGTAGTGGAAACAGGAGAATCTTGCTACATTGAGGTGGGCTCACTCTCTTAGTTTGTAGGGGCAAAGCATGTGTACAAATTTCCTATGCATAGGTGGGAGACTCATGGAAGAGTCATAATCAGTGGAGTGACTGTCACAGAACTAGAAGTAAACCCTAGAATAGGCATGCATCCTTTTGGATCAAAGAGTAAATGTGTGCCAAAGCATCATTTGTAGCTTCTACCTGATGTAAATCTTTAAACTGTTAACTTGTCAATCAATCAGATTTTTGTTTCTCCTTCTCTCTAATAAAAATATGTCCTCCCAAATGAAATTGCCTAATTGGGATGGAACACAAAGGCAGGAACTTCATTTTCAAGATACACTTCATCTAAGGATTTTGTTGACTAGATTACATCGCTTTTCAATTAGCTGCCGTGTTCACAAGCAGAGACTTAATCCACAGTCATATAGCATGCTCTTGTTTGATGGGGCAAAATGGAAGGTAAAAACAGTGTGAGAAGGGTTCACAATGACTTTGATGGTGAATGTGGGCAGGGTGGAGAAAAGGAGATAGGTGAAAGTCAGAAAGTGAAACTGTCTGACTAACTCATCAGAAATGGGAACAGCTATGATGAAAAGCCAGTTGCATCCAGCTCTCACTTCTGCTTAACACTTGCCAAACAGTATTTCACATGGGCAAAGATTTCTGTGATGTACCTTTGTGTTCCCTGGATTACTAACTCTAGTCTGATGACCCACAGATAAATCAGCTGCAATCCAGTTATCAGCATGTTTTATTATAGATTTAAAATGCAAACTACTATGTGGAGAAACAGGAAAACAGTATACATTGAAAACAAAGGCTAAAATTATGACACCAGGAAAATTTAAAGGTCACCTTTTGGTAGTCATCCCTGTAGCTGCAGCTGCAGTGACCTCTGCTTGCCCTGAGAAATCACCAGTATGCCAAACTTTTACAATTTCATTTTCTACCTTAGTCTGCCATGATTGTCCCAGGAATGAAGCGGGGGCAGAGAGGAGTCATTAAGGAGAGTTTCACAGTGGTGTGCTGGTGAACTAGCTGTCCAAAAGGAAAATGTGTAGTGTTTGCCAATTTACATGGTACAAATACTCCCACCATAGCCAATTTCAAGAATGCCTATAATTAATAACCAGAATGCAACATTCCTGAAAAGTTAATAATATGCACTTATAAGCTAGCACCAGCCCACTCCAGCACATATTGCCAATTGCTTATAACACAACAAAGATCAAGAACACCAAGATTTTATATGTGTATATATATGTATATATGTATATGACACACTTTAATTTCCTGAGAAGATATGCAAATGCAACAGAAACAAGCTCTCCAAGTCTTTGGCCCTGTAGCTACTCAGCAGATGTTTTTTAAAAAAGACTTACTAGGAAACAACTTGGCCTCAGGCTTAGCATGCTCCTGAGCAATTTTTGTTACACAAAATACAAAAAAAAATTCTTTTAAATAGCTTTACATGTAATATTATTTAACATAATTCAGCTTTTCACAAATACCCATAAATATTTTAAATTTGTTTACAATGCAATACATACCTTTCAACAAGAACCTGCAAGTAGCTAATTTAAGAGCCCAAAAATTTTGAATTAGTGCTATTTATTATTTTTAGAAGTTAGCGCATTTGAGTAAGATTACTAAGATGGGCTCTGCAAAGTGAAGAGGGGAATTTGGTTGGTATAAGGCCTGAGCAGCATCCTGGGTTTCCCTGATCCAGGCAGGGAAAAAAAAAAAAAAAAGTTTGCTGGTAAAGGAAAGATCTGTTGTAGCTTCACTCTGCTCACCTTGGGCTAAAGGGGAATACGCTTCTTGAAAAGTTACTTTGCTAAATTTTAGAGTCTTATAACACAATAGCAGAAGTAACAATTCTAAAGCTGAAACAGTGCAATGCAGTGGACAACCCATTGCCTCTTGTAGTCACTTGTCCTATGATTTGAGGCAAGTTGGCTATGCTATGCTACCACATTCTCATCACTAAAATTTCCCCCAAATGCCTGCCCAATTAACTTCATAGAATTGCTACCTGTTATATGAAAGCACTTTGCAAACTGTGGAAAGTTAGCTAAAAATACTAAATCATTACATGACATAATCCAGTAATGGTAATACCATTCTGGGGTTAAACCTAATGATTACTAATGGTTACTCTTTCTTTACAATTAGCAATGTTTAAACACACACACCAACAGTAAGTTCTCACAGAGCTCTACGTGAGGGTTCGGAATGACTCCTTTGATAAGGCTTTTTAAAGCACCATGCATCCTGAGGAAGATAAAACAAAGAGAAATTTCCAGATAGCGTACATTCCATTTTATGCCACTTGTACCTCTATTCCAATAGTTCTCAGAGTGTTCGTTATCTTCTAACACCACCATATCTAAATAGGGTATGGTAGGCATATCTGTGGCCATCCTATCAGTCTACTTTTTACTGGGAGGACCTCAAAAGACGGGAGTATGAGAAGAATGAATTAGAGCAGCCCAAGAATATGAGAACAAAGTCAGGCTACTGTCCCAGATCCTTTTTGCATACCAGGTAAAACTTCCAAAGGAATAGAACTCCATTTTTCCACTCACGAATTCAAGATTTAGACAGAGATTCTTTGAAAAGCACATGTCCTCTGTCATCCATATTCATTTTATCATGGATTAATGAAGTATCTCTGCAGATCCAACCAAAAGTCTTTGGCTCTTCCTCTGAGTCTCGTTCAGATAGGCATGATAGATGAAAATTCACATACAGAGGAGTTCTGTTTGCATTGATTTTTGTAGACAGACAAACCCTAGAAATTGAAAATCTTCTCCCTCCAGTCCACCCACTGGCACCTCTGCATGTGCTGAAGGGAATGGGATCAAATCAAGTCTCTAGGAGATGAATTGGGGATTTGCTAGTAAAATGATACCCCAGTAGGTATTATTTTTTAGAACCTGATACTCAGAGTTGAATATCAAGTCTATGGTATCCCCAACATGCAATTCATAAGTCCCTCCTACATTCTGGATTTTAGATTTGTTTGTTAGAGTTTGTATCATGTCTTTGTTTTTATACAGCCGTACTTCAAAAGGAGCTACATCATTGTAGTTTGCATTGGGAGCCACTTGGCCGTAAATTAAATATAAGCCATTCTGAAGTATCTCCAGCTTCCAGTCAGACACCTTATTCACGCAAGGAGGTTGAGAAGATGCCATTTGCCATTTTGAGGGTAATGGTCCTATAAGAAATATACAAGGGAGAAAAAAGATGAAAGCATAGTTATTTCATTATTTCATCCTTTTCCAGATTGTAGATTTACCATGTACATGTTGTTTCTTTACCTGATCTACACTAGTTCTCTTCTAGCAGAATTTTTCTATTTTAAGTACCTATCTATTCCTTGTTTTAGAGAAATTGAAAATCCAAAGGGTGTTTCTTGCTTGGAGCATTCTAAGGAAAAGAATTTGGAATAGAAAAATGAGTTAGGTGACTCAGCATCTCTTGTCGATTAATATTTGTGGGAAATAGAAAGGAGAAGAAAAGACTAATGGAGAAAGAAATCACAAGCCAAAATTTTGAAAGCCAGGGTTGGCAGTCCATGCTTTTCCATGCATTTTCTGTGTGAATACCATCGGCTGTTTATCACTTTATCAGTGAGGCTTTCCTTAATTAAGCTATATTAAGAAGTGTTCTCCTATCACTCTCTCCTTTAACGTTGCTTGAGTTTTCTTCATAAAGTGTGTCAGTGTCTAGGATGTTATAAACTAAATTGTTCATTTGTTTATTTTCCATCTTGTATCACTTTGAATGTAAAATTTTTTAGGACAAATATATCTCTATTTTATTCATTCCCGTGTTTTCAGCACCTGAAAATGTCCCTGGTACCTGGTAGATGTTCCATAAATATTTATTGATTGAATGATACTTCCATGTTCCTGAATTAGGTGCTTTGTGTCTAAATTATGACTCTTCTCCTCAGTTTGTAGGTATATATAATTTAAGACCTACTTAGGATTCATTAAATAAACCCCCCAAAAATAGCTAATGGTAAATTTATGAGTTTATAAATAGAAATAACTTGACTATTTAAATATAAGGATCCCTAGCACAATACTGTCCCAACAGGTAAAGAAAAGGTAAAGACTTAATCATTCATTTTCATTAGCACATATGAAATTTAAATGTTTGTTTACTTGGTTTTGCACATCAGTGTGATCTCACAGCCCCAGGAGGTGCTTTTACTACCCAGAATGCTTATCTGTTCTGCAATTCTCCATAATTTTTGTCCTTTGTCCCGTAATTAAAAAAGGAAACTGATGAGAAAGCACCCTGGAAGAGGTAACATTTTTACTTCAATTCTCATTCATATGAATGACTAATGTAAGACTCTGAAGGTAGATTCTGGGGGACAACAATTTTGTAGATTCTAGAACAAAAGGCAAAGTCACCCTGTATCGCTAATGAGCTCAGAGCCCAGTAAATTTCTTCTTCCTTGACATGTAATAGGCAATAGGCAGGTCACCAGAAAGAGGTGTCATTGACTTTCCTATTTAATTCTGTGAAAGGGGGTCACTTAAAGACCACCTTAGCATCACTTGAGTTTCTCAACTTTTACCACATCAAGGCAGAATTTCACACATTCCATGCATTCCATTCCACTTACTGGCAAAACAAAAACAAAACACAAAGAAAGAGACAAGCAAAAGGAAATTGTCTAATTCCCACAAGCCAAGGAAACCTACTGGTTTAAACTATATAGGAACACAGGGGTTGCAGAGTTAACTCTAGAAATGGTCTGTTCTCAACTGAAAACGTATGTTTGGCCTGAAACCTATAAACAACTTTAAAAAATGTATTTATCTGAAATTTTGCGTGCATTCTAAGAGTCTAAGTCTCAGGGTAACTGCAAACTGTGGTGTGTTTTCTAAGCAAATATCAGGTGACTACAAGGGAAAATGACTCAGAAGCTAAGCTTAGAAGAGAAAGGAGTAGAGGAAATGGCCACTCTTCCAACTCTCATTGCTCTTTTATACATTTAGAAACAACAATGGCACTCTCTCGTACACTCCTCTGGACATTAGCAACGTGTGAAACGTGAGAAAGACTTTAAGGAAAGGTTGTAGAAATCTGAAACTTGTTGTGTTTATTAAAACACAGAATTAAAAGTAGATTCCTAGATCTCGGATTCATAGATCAGTAAGAGAGATGTTCATTCCTGGCTAGAGATGCAGCCTTCAATATAAGCTTTATCAGGACATGGGCTTCTTTTGCCTGGTTTACCTCTGAAAGCCTCAGCTCTTGGGAAACTGCCCAGTATATGATAAGTAATTATATGTAGTAGCTGAAAAATGAATGGAAGAAAATACAGGTTTTCTTGAGATCACTGACACCTGCCTTCTTTCATCAAAAACTAAGAAAAGTAAAAGAGAGACATGCACGATAGGTTACTCACCAAACTTAGCCATACAGGGCTCTTTAGCAGTCTGTTGGGGAAAGAAAAGATGAATTGATTAGGATGATGACAGTGTCATTAACTTTTTTGATTGATTTATTTAGAGCTTTGGATTCCTGAAGCAAACTACTATTCTATAACCATAAAAAAAACCCTCCCTTCAACATGTCTCAGCCCTCTCAGCTTCCCTTTAAAGTTGAGTGGCTCCATCCTTTACCTTTTATTACGTAGCTTCCCCTTTGGGTGTTTTAGACAAAAGTCAAGATCTAATTCCATTACCTAATCTATACCTAAAGGACAACTATTTGATATTGGACACCCCCTTCCCCCGCCCCCGCAGCCTTGGACTCTAAAAGTTTTTCAACAAAAAGCAGTTTCCACACCCCAGTGACTGAACAAGGTTATCTATTGGCACGGGAAAGGAAAATAATGAAGCTTCCGTTTATGTTTATTTTTATTTAAAACAGTAAATTAAGCCCTAGAAATATTCACAACTCAGACTGATGAAGCCACCCATGTATAATACTTAGATAACTACATGTCATATACAGTATCTGAGATAGCCTGAAAAACAGTTCCAAGTTTCAGGCTATTGCAATATATGGCAGTTCACATGCTACAAGATGCCATCAGTGTGTGGTTAATTTTACAAATACAGGTAGTTAAATGCTAAATGCTCAAAAAGACTTTGTATAAATTAAGGCATAACCACAAACATTTTTTGTATCATCCAAAGTTTGTTGGTTTCCTAATGGTAAAGTGCTTAAAAGACTTTTTGAACTTAAAGATGTTGCATATTTTCCTTTTGTAAGATTTCTCTGGCTGCTATACTAGGAACAAATTAAACAGAGGCAAGGACAAATGTAGTGAGACTAGCTAAGAGAACATTACAGTCATTCATCTAGGCAAGAGAGCATGGTGCCTCTGACCAAGGTGCTAGCTGTGGAGATAGTGATACTTGGTTGGAAAATAAAGCCAACAGAAGTTCCCGACATGGATATGGGGTAGGGAATGAGAAGAGACAAAGATGACTCCAGGTATTTTAGGCCTGCATAATTGGAAAGATAATTATCCACTAATATGGATAAGATGTAAGAGGAATAAATGGGGAGGGGAAAAATCATGAGTTTGGTTTTGGACATGTTAAGTTTGTGATGCTTATTATAAATCCAGGTAAGTGTGTCAAGCAGGCAGTTGGATACAGGAGGCTGAAATTTAAGGAGCTCTGGTGATATACATTTAGGAGCCTTAAGTTCCTAAGTGATGCTTTAAGGAGTGAGATTGTGTGAGACCATCAAGTTAGTGGGTGTGGATGGAGAGGCATACTGGGGCGTTGTGATGTTTAGAGGTCAGAGAATGAGAAAGAACAAGCAAGGGACAATAGAAAGAAAAAGTTGAGTCTGAAAGGAAACTAGGAGAGTCTGATGTTTGGAAGCCAAGAAAAGAAAGTATTTCATGGAGGATGCGTGATCAGCTGGTGTCAAATGCTGTCAATAGATCAAGTAAGAAGAGTACAGTGAATTGACTGATAGATTGAGAAACATGGTAGACACTGGAGTTCTTGACAAAATTAGTTTCTGTCATATGTGAAGAAGGCAGAAACTTAGAATAAATTTAAGGGTAAATGGGAAAAGAGAAGCTGGAGGAATTTTGCTGTAGGGAGAGCAGAAAAAAATGAGTGGAGTTTGGATGATGATGAGAGATCAAAGAGGTTTTTGTTGTTGTTGTTGTTATGTTTTAATATGAGAGAAATGACAACATGTTTTTCTATTGCCATTTGATGGAAATGTTTCTGTAAAATGGATGAGGCATAATATGTAAGAGCAAGGAGAGAACTGTTGCAGCAATGTCCCTGAGTAGGTAAGATAGGATAAGATTTAGTTCATAGATGGCTTGGATAGGTGTATGGACAATTTATCCACAGTGATAAGGGAGAACAGCAATATACCTGGATACAAATGCCAACGAGTTGTTGATACTGGAACTTCTTTCCTCCCTACTTCTATTTTCTCTTGAAATATGGAGGCAACGTTATCAGTGGAGAGTGTGAATGGGGAAGAGTTATTAGATGTTTGAAGAGAAGCTAAAGATGTGAAATCATCCAGTAGAGGAGAGTGAATGGACGGGAAACGTGGGTTGTTTCGAGAGCAACACTGAAATCCACTTGAAGGCAGTGGCTGTGAATTTAAAGTAAGACCTTTCAACAAGTTGTATGTTTTTCTTCAGATATATTCAACAGTGAAAGACACAGAGCAGTTGGATTTAATCAGCATTGGAGGTTTTCCATAGTCGAACTTTTGTCATTAGAATACAATGGAGATAGACACAAGCAAGTGGGTGAGTTTATATGAAGGAGGTGTTAAAGCTATAGATCTTAGAAGTTAGTTGTGTATGGAAAGAAAGAGAGGCATCCATCATTGAATGATAGATTGAAAATTAAGTGGTATGACATGTTAAGAATATCCAAAGATATGTTCTTCCATTTTAATCTATATTTGTTTGTCAGGTAATTTTTCAGTCATGACACTCAAAATCATGAAACAAGGTAAATTAACATATCAAACTTCAAATTGCTGTATCACAAAGTGTTAAGATTAAAAAATAAAATAAATGCATTTATCAAATTATTAAAATATTATTTTACTTATTTTAGAAATGTTTATATTATATATTAACGCATTATAGAAAATATAACATTTTGGTGAAAGCGAAATGGTTCTGCATTATGAGAGCTATGTTAAACATATTAGGCTCACCCTTATAAATATATATTTTGTGTATCTCTTTAGTGTACATATTATTAGTACTTGTATATGGTATAATAATTAGCATACAGATGTTGGGAATTATACTGAAAATATGTTATTGAGAGGGAGGTGCAATCAAAAAGTCTGAAAGTCACTTTTCTAGGAAATAAATTTTTTGATTCCCTACACTTGTTTTTTCATTGTTGTTGTTTCTTGTTATTTTTTTGAGACAAGGTCTCATTCTACTGCCCAGGCTGGAGTGCAGTGGTGTGATCTCAACTCACTACAGCCTCATCCTCCTGGACTCAACCAATTCTCCCATGTCAGCCCCCTGAGTAGCTGGGACTACAGGTGCATGCCACCATGCCCAGCTATTTTTTTTGTATATTTTTGTAGAGACAGGGTTTTGCCATGTTGCCCAGGCTGGTCTCAAACTCTTGGGCTCAAGCAATCTACCCGCCTCAGCCTCCCAAAGTGCTGGGATTATAGGCGTGAGCCACTGTGCCTGACCTCTTGCAATTATTTCATCCTCATTTTGGTGTTTCCTGGAAGAGATGTTGAAATTCAATTTAGTTCAACACATGATAGGGACATGACAAAGACTCCCTGAACCCCAATTTCCTCATCTGTAAAATGGGAGAAATAATAGCACCTAGCTTGTTGAAGTTGTTGGGGTTAAATGAGGTCGTTTTAAAGAAGGGCTTTGCCGAGATATCCTGCCTGGACCTGTTCAATAAATATTAGTTGTTTGGGTGATGATGGTGATTGTAATGAAGAATTGAACTACAATTTAAGCACACATATTCCCAACATTATACAGCATCGTAAGCACGAGAAACAAATTTGATTTTTGGTCCTTGCCTCTCAAGAAGTTTATAATCTTTCTAGAAAGACATGATTACACACCCAAAGCAATTTGGTAACAATCTAAATATGAATGAGTGCCAAAATACATGCCACAGATAGTATCTGCACCATCTACTAGCATGTATGAGATGTGTTCAGAGAAACCTAATGCCATAGACAACCTAAGGACAAACTAATTTCCAGAGTCAGAAATTCTGGATAATATACTGCAGGCTGCTTAATGTCTATTTAGTGCTACAGAGACCATCACTGTGATACTCTCTAATTATTGCCACCACTAAAAATCCATCTAATTGCAAAATCATCAATTTGGCTATGAGATAGTGTCTTTGATTGAGAGAGTGATATAGGTAGGCAAAGAATATCCATATTGTTAAACGATCTTGTTAAATTTTTGCCCGTTATTATCTCATTAATAGTAATGGGGCAAATATTAATCACTACCATCTACTGGGAGCCTACTATATGTCAGATACTCTACTGTCTCATTAATCCTTACCACAACCCTATACAAACTAGCTTGCTCGTTTTGCCGATGAGGAAATGAGGATGAGAGGCATTAAGTAACTAGCCTAAGGTCATGCAGCCAATGAAAGGCAAGAATGAGATCCACACCCAGCCTGTCTGGGTCAAAACTCTCACCCTTACCACTCTGTGGGAGAAGTTTCTATTTATAATTCTACTGATGTTTGGAAGTAGTAAATACCCACTTTTAAAGACACATATGGCTTAGTTATTTTATCTAGAAGGATCAGTTGCTTTTGTAACCTCATCTTGATTTAAGGTTAGATTTACATAGTTGGGCTCAAAATGGCCAAAACAATCATTCTCTCTCCAAATCAACCCTAATCAAATCCTCAGTGAAATTAAAATCTGCTCTGCTTTTAAGTACAAGTACAACTTCCCCTTCTGAAAGTATCCTTCATTTTATTGAAGCGGGAGACTCTGCTGAACACTTGATTTCTTAGTGATAACTCCTGTGAGGTTATTTTCACTGAGGGATTGACCAAACTCCTTGGACTCACAGCTATCCTTTTAGTTAAATATTTTCTCAAAGAAGAGAGAAAAAAAGAAAAAAATTGACCCAAGTAGTCAAGCTTCCCATCTAACACTTTTTAAAGTATTACACTTTTTTTTTAAGTGTACACTTTTTAAAGTAGTGTCTAGACAATCTGGAAAGTGGGACTTTGTGTATAAAAACTAGGGTGGAGACCAAAATAAAACTTCAAGGTTCATGGGTATTGTGAGAATGTGGAAGTGGCCACATCATAGTGACTCACTATCTGCCAGCCCTTCAGACCTCTCTTCCAGAGATATTTATTTGTGGTCAACAGGGAAAGGGAAGTACAGGTAAGTGAAAAGTGAAATGTAGAAGCTAATATCATGCATGGTGGGCCAGGCCACTGGCTTTTCCCATAGAAACAAATCCTGCAAGTTTCCTGTCAGAACAATATTCTAAAAACATTTTATACTTCCCTAAATTTGGAACAAACTCTGGGTTATCTTTAGAGGCAGAACCTTTCACTGAGAAGCTGGATCTCGGAGAGAAAAACCAGAATCAGAGCTCAAACACCTGGGACTAATCCAGTTTGATTCTGAACAGAGGTGTCCTAGATGATCTGGCATTATTAGACTTTCTCTTTCCCTTTGCAAGAACTACTGGGTGCCTTTGGGAAAGGCATCTGTGCATTCATTCCCAAGTCGTATGTAGGAACTGATGATGCCTATATTCAGTGTTCTTCAGGGTTATCAGGCTAATTAATCTTATAATTTTTAGAAGAAAGAAGCACTTCCAAATTTAAGTTATTGCTATTCTCACCCTTCCTCTTCTTCAGAAATCTAGACACTAAGAATTTCTGACAATTATTTCTTTCAGCTTCACTGACCCAGAAAGTTCACACTTCTGCTTGATACATTTCTTGAGAGAGCAGGGTGGTAATTAGAAATGCCTCAGTTGCACATAAGCCTCGTATACAGTTATGAAATACAAATTAATGGGCTACTGTGGAAAAATTGGCCAAAGCTATACCTACTCGAAATTAATATCCATAGGAGACTGCTTCCTCCTGCATCTTTTCTCAATTACTTTTACTTATCTTAAGTGGTAGAACTATATCTTTGAAATCTTCGCTGATCAGTTCCCTTAAGAAAAATGTTTCTGCAGTTACATTTCAACCCTTTCTCAAGATGGACATATACCACTTTATTCTACCCAAAACTTCGAGTCTTACAATTTAACCAGAAATAGGCTAAATCCTGAAATAAATAAAGCATTTCTTATTTTCTTTTTGGTCAGTGCTATATGGTCAACTGTGAGGAAAGTTTTTTTAGTAAAGAACCAAACTTATCTCCATTCCCAGTGTACCATCCCATTCTCTAGGCCCACAACTTGGCCTGCATCTCAATGGGAAATTCCTGACAAGCATCAGGGGCTTCCCAAATAGATATGGGCTTTCTCCTTCCTCCATGAAGTCTCCCCTGATCAACTCAACCTAAAGTCATTGTTCCCTGCTTTTGAATGGCTTAGGCATTTATTCTTCATACTATCCCTAAATAAATTCCTAATCACTGCATTTTATAGCTAGAAGAAACATCATAATAAATCCATTCTCCTACCACCAGTTTTTTTTTAGATAAAGAATCTGCAAACTAGAGAGATTAAATGTCTTTATCAAATTTATACAGCTGGTTATTAGGGAGACCCAGAACCAGAATCCAGATATTCTTACGCCCAGCTCAGGGCCACTTCCTTCCTCAAAGACACACAAACCACCTGTCATTTACTTAATCCCATCTTTCACTATTTTTTTAAGTCTTTTCCATAAATAAGACTATAGCTTGCATCCCATTCCTTGATATTCATTCATATTTTTACCTTTTTTATTCTACCAAGAGCTATAGAAGAGGGAGAGAAAAATACTCCACAGGCCCCTGTCAATTGGCTTAACCAATTCTCTCTATCTAACTGAGTTCTGCATCTAACATTTAGCATTTTCTGATACCTTTTATCTCAAAACCTTTAGCTAAACTTCAAAAGCCATGTCATGACAATATTAGAATTGTATTTACATTATGTATATGCATCTCTTCCTCCCAACTATTGCTAACAATACTGAGTAACAATGATAATAACTAGAAAAACAAATAGAGGATTATAGCAAATAGCAATCTTAGGTACAATTGCCTCCTTACCTCTAGTTGGAGAAAAATAAAGATTAGCCAACTGAAGGAGCAAAGAAAAAGGAATATAGCTATTGAGCAAAAGAGCCACAGCTTCCAGGATGATCTCTGAGCTCCTTGAGTTCTTGAATGACTTAAAGGCATATTTTCCAAGTGGCTCAAACACATTTTTGGAGAAATAAGAGCTGTAGAAAACAAAAATTCACAAGTGATGGGTGAAGGATGCAATGTCATGTTTTGTAGCAATATGGTAATTAGTAGTGGGTGTGGAAGGCGGAGTTTTCCTTCTGTCACTGTGTTAGAAAATGATACTCATAACTTAAGTGCTGACTTTCATTTGGCACCAGGTCAAATACAACAAAAGGAACGGAAGGCTGAAAGTCAACACAAACTCAGAACATAGAAAAAAAAAGCACGAGGGAAGTTCAGAGGGAAAAAATTTCTCTCCTAAATCAAAAGGCAGTACAGTGCATGTGTAGAAGAGCCTTGGGAGAATAAAGTGGTGTACTCCCATCTAAGATAGTATTCCATATTATTTCTAGATAAGAAAATTACTTTTTATAAGAAGAAATAAAGTTTGAGATTAAGACCCCATCATACTCCCGATATCATGTACATGAGCGGCAGTCTTAGGAAGTTGGAGAGGCTAGGATCTGTAGTTTGGAAAAAACAGAGTTTCAATCAAGTCAGCATCTTATATACCTTAAATATATACAATTTTTATTTGTCAATTATACCTCAATAATCTGGAAAAATAAAATCTATACTCATAAAAATGTTTCATCAATTTCTAGTGTATGGAATACATTCATTCTGAGATATTCTCTAGAAAATATTGTGTGTTACAAGAATTTAATAAAAAATTTTAAATACAACAAGATCAATTTTATTTTTCATCATTTTTAAACTCTGATAATCTAGTTCTGGCATAAAAAGTTATTTTACAGAAGGATATTTTCCTGCATCCTGCCCTCAGCCTGAGCTTATACTCTATTCCAAAAACAAACAAACAAACAAACAAAAAACCTTGGGTTTTCTTCCCGGGCCCAAAAATATGGATTTACTACAAAATTGAGGAAGTCTCCTGGTTCTATGGACCTCAGTCACACAGGCTTTTTTTTTTTTTTTTTTTTTTTTGAGACGGAGTCTCGCTCTGTTGCCCAGGCTGGAGTGCAGTGGCCGGATCTCAGCTCACTGCAAGCTCCGCCTCCCGAGTTTACACCATTCTCCTGCCTCAGCCTCCCGAGTAGCTGGGACTACAGGTGCCCGCCACCTCGCTCGGCTAGTTTAGAGACAGGGTTTCACCTTGTTAGCCAGGATGGTCTCGATCTCCTGACCTCGTGATCCGCCCGTCTCGGCCTCCCAAAGTGCTGGGATTACAGGCTTGAGCCACCACGCCCAGCCCACACAGGCTTTTAAATCAGATAGACCTCAAGAGCAGAGGCTGGCACTGGCCAGTTCCTACCTGCTCTGTGGCTTTAGGCATGTTACTTGAGTTCTCTGAGTTTCAGTTTCCTTAACTGTAAATTGGAGAATATTTTCACTTTATAATGCTTTTATGGAGAATGAAATGAAGGTGAAAAGTTTATGCGTTCCTTAAATGTTAGATTATCTCTTCTCTACCCTCTTTAGAGATGTAGTGAAGGTTAATTCAATTATTAAATCCTAGAAAAGAATGAGCATTCTTTATCTTTCCCACAAGATATAATTCACCTAAAGTTTACTTAAACAAACGGAAGTAGAATGAAAGTATTTTGGAAAACCTATTTTTTAATCTAAGAGAGAACTGACGATTTATAAATTAGAAAAAAGTCCAGAGATTTAACATCCTCATTTACAAAAAAAAAAAGGAAACTAAGGACAATAGAGTGTGAGTAGTGTCTCAAATCACTACTGACTAGTTAAAGATGGAGTGAAAACTGAAGCCCACAGATACTGCTTTGTATTCCAACCATTTTGTCTTAGTACTGTACTATTTGCAATATTATTATCAATATTTCTCTCTGAACTGTCAAAATTTTAATTTGGGTCCTATTTTACCTTGATCAATAAACTACTTCTTAAGAGACTAGTCACACAAAAATGATTTTTCAACACAAATGTATTTGTGGCTCTGTACTTAGATGCTGCAATGCAGGGATGAATAATAAACTTACTCTAGAAAAAGACGGATGCTTTGATCCTATAACCTGTGCACTTGCATCAGGCCTGGAATTCATATACACAAACACAGAACTTAAAATTGGAAGTTAAATTATGTCCTTCCTGTTTTTCTGATCTGCCCCTTTTCCTGTCTCCTCTCCAAATTTTTGAGGGAACTTCCCTGGCTTACTACCTTAGGTAAACATTTATTCACATGAGAAACTGTTCTAAATAAAATCCAATTCCTCCTTCCGTCTTTAACCACGGTTAGGCTCTGGGATATCCTTATTATTTTAACCTTATGACAGTATCTTAAGAAAGATGACGTACTTACCTCAAGAAGACTACATTCTAGGGCCTCTTTCCATGAAATACGATTTGGAAATGAGGAAACTTCAAGTTTAGGCAGGTTACAGTAGGGAAGACTTTCTGAAATTCTAGAGCAATGAGTCACAGTTGGCACGATTTTGGTGTAAGTTATCAGGATTGCATGATATATCGCAGGATTTTACAAGAGGTAAATGAGCACCAAACTCAGGCTTCGGGTGTGTGGTCCGTCCCTTGCTCAGATACTTAAGCGTAAAGTTTTTTTGTTTTTTGGGTTTTTTGTTTTTTGTTTTTTGTTTTTTTCAATTAAATCCGGCAAGTAAATCCATGTCATTTACTATCTGCCCACTACTGTACCAGGAGATTTGGGGGATATTTTTAAAAGTAACAGCTGCCCTGGCCAACATGGTGAAACCCCGTCTCTACTAAAATACAAAAAATTAGCCAGGCCTGGTGGCACGCGCCTATAGTCCCAGCTACTCGGGAGGCTGAGGCAAGGGAATCACTTGAACCCGGGAGGTGGAGGTTGCAGTGAGCCGAGATTGAGCCACTGCACTCCAGTCTGGCGACAGAGTAAGACTCCGTCTCAAAAAAAAAAAAAAAAAAAAAAAGTAACAACTGCCAATGAATTTGCCACCTAACCAAATTGAAACCTTACCACAGGGAGACAGACGCCCAAATTCATACTATCCATAAGAAAGTGCCTGAGAAAACAGACCTTGATAAACTGAAACCGTTGAAACAGCGGGTTAGAAATAAACTGTTTAAGAAGAGAGAGGAGGGTACTATTTCTTGAGGGTATGATAAAACTTGAGAAATAAATATTCAGAGGTATAAGCATCTGTAGAAATTAAAATAAGAACTCAATATAAACAATGACAAAATCCTAAATTTTTTAATGAACCTGGTATTTTTCATTCAAGGGCTGCAAAATAAGAAATTTCAGGAAAAAAGGTCAAAGAAAACCTCCCTTCTATATTTTCATATTGAAAAAAAGGATCTAAGATATGTTGGATTAAGCAATTTGAACTGCATTCACGGCTGCTTTGAATTCAGAATTAATTGTAGAACAACATGGTTTTAGTTCACTTATTGACTAAATTACCTTAAAATGCATTAGGCACTTACTGTTTCTTCTCTGTGTACAAATGATTACATTTGAACATCCAACAGCCCTGTATTCTCTATTAGAATGATGAACTATCATATCTATTAGAATGATGAACTGACATTCAGGAAGATTAATCGTTTGCCCATAAAGGTAGAATAGGGATTGAATTCTCCTTGTTGGGTCCCAAAACTCGTATTTTTTCTACCTCTTTATGCTGAAGTATGTCAGGTACATCCCACGTAGAGTCAACAGATTGGAAGATATATTAGTCTGTAAGAGGGTGTTAGGTGGACATCAGTTTCCTCCAAAATCTGTTAGTACTCAGGTCTGCAATCCTCACCACATTCCCCTAATACTACCGTTTATCATGACTTTATCCTTGAGATAGTGTATGGTGTAGCATAATCAATCAGAATTTTTCAATACGTCAGAACTCAGTGAGGAATAATACACAACTAATTTTGTCTACTCTGGATGTCAGAGTATTTATTGTCATGACAAATAGGGCTCATTTGACTTGAAGACAAATAGATGGATATATACAGTAATAAATAATGGGAGAAAATACACAGACATGATCTATAAATAGGGTTTTAAACTTGGAATTTTTTGAAAGAAACAACAGTATCTGTAAAAATTAATAAATGCCTACTCCATAAAGAGAATTATGTACAGTTCATTATACATAAGTAGATGTATGTGTATTACATGTACATATTATATACATACATATATGTACATATAGGTACAATAAATTCTAAAAGATATCGAGGACTATATCAACCTTCAGATCATCCTGTCTATAGAACTAGTAACAATCCTAATTGGGTTGATCTAGGAAATAGATCAAATTCAAGTGGTGTTTTGATTTCACAACCTGGGGACCCTCCTCTGTGCCCCCACATTGTGTTGCCTTGTGCTGTCTTTTTTGCATGTCCACTTTTTTGGAGCCTTTACCAAATTCTTTATTGTTTGTCTATGTTTTACTAGCTCAAGTACAATCTTTAAGTAAAAAGTCTAATGGCCAATTTCCATTAAAGCCTTTCTGTGCTAGCCACCTGCCTTACTACTAATCATTTAGAATGGCTCTGTGATGTTATAGGTCCCTATCTCTCTAGTCTGAGCCCTCTATGTCAGTGGCATGTTGTTTTGGGTGGGTGGGTGTGTGTGTGTGTGCCCTTTCTGGACTAATGAGCGTTTTGTATTTTGGCCACAGGAGGAGCATCTTAAATACTTTTTGATGGGAAGAATGACTTGCTGCTTAGGATCTCAATGAAAGCATTGGCCATTCTGCAATATGGCATAATACTTCCTATTTGGAAACCATCGAATATCACCCTAGAATCTGTAATGAATGAGCATTGCTGTTAAATTACATCTTGCCCAATATTGCATACATTGCCATAGAATTATGTATTTTACCTATCAATCTAGTTGAATTAAAAGGGTCTTAAGACTCTTGAGATTAAGTATTCTCCCCAAATCTGAATTTGGGGGGACAGCCCTGGATGAGGGAATAGAAGAAAAATATTTTCCCTTTACTCTTCTATTTGGTTTCCCCCTTTGACAAGGTCCTAAAATTTCCCCG